GTTTTGCTGGATTGCAAAGTAGGGTAGGACGAAGCACAAGAGTCCAATTTAATTTTAAGCAATTATATTGTCTAAAGTTTCTAAACCTAAGAACTATTGTCTAAAGACTCTAAATCAAATGTACTACATCATAACACATAGCACGTATCAAACAAACAACTATTGAACTATGCCCAGCAAAATTCTGAATTAATTACTAATTATAGAAATATGTTTTGTGAAAATATGTCATCTGTCCTTTTTTACCCTATAGACTGTTACCCCACTGTTGTCGTAAACTAAGCAACAGTGATCACAATAAAAAAAACTAACAACGAATGAAAATACTTTTGTAATGGACTTTTAAACATTGACCGTTTATCTCCTGATAGCGATGTCGTAAGAGTCAAAGTGATGGCTCGTTATACATATTTATCCCTCTACTTTCAATTATAGTTGTTAAAAAAATCCTAACTTTATTTTTTTTTTGAGATGTCGGTCTTAGACCTTTTTACCCGCGGAGCTTTAAGCCGTACTCTACCCTATATTAAAGTGATATGTTAGTGATGTTTTGTATTAAGTTAGCAATACTTAGGGCCGGTTCTGCCTTGCATGCAATGCATGCAAAAAATGCGGGCGCACGCTTTAGGGGGCGCAAAACGAGTTTCGAAAATTAAATTTATAATATAATATTTATATTTTTTTATATAAAATCTGGATTTATTTATATAAAATCTAGAATACTTAATAAATTGTAATAAATAATTTAACTTAACTAGGGATACAAAAAGCATATTTATTTTGCAATGTGATATCAGTAGAAACAATTAACCGATTAATAATTTTGCAAATTAGTAAATAACAGCTCTGTTTATTGCTTAATCTACTTATTCAATTTTTTCTTTTTTTGAAGTTACCGTGGAATCGAAAAAGAAATTATCTAGTGTTCAATCCCATAAGCGCAAACCTGCGAAAGATTAAATTAATTGTTGGGCATTATTAACGAAAAATTGCGAGCTGATTTAGTTGAAACAGAACTTGTTAAAAAATATAAACAAATTATAATCGGAAAAAAGGGGAGTCAGTGCTTTAATGGCATGTTTATTCCGAAAAATTGAATTGTAACTCTTACTTTTGTTGCAAATGTTTCGCATCTGATGAATTTTGAATGTTGAAGATATGCGTGGTTAGGGTTATGGAAATGGAACACATGAAAAATGGAAGCAAAATTTAATTTGGAACGAAAATCTTAAGGCTTTTTTTATACCTAGTGGTGTCCATACTCTAAATTTTTAACTATGCAGATATAATACACATCAAATATAATGAGATTTTTTTTCAATATAGTTTAAGAAATGTGTAACTTCTTTGCAATTTTTACTGATTTTTGGACAATACTTCTAAACTACGTTAAAAATTTAACTTTAAAACAACAAACTGATACTCTGAATATAACGGGAAAACATGGATGAATACAATTCGGCTCTTACAATATCAATAAGGAGAAGTTTACGACGCAATTTTGTATATTGTAATTGATGAAAAATTAAATTAAATTAAAATTTTAAAAATCCAACATGAAATACGAGTTTTATGATTGAAAATGGAAAGCTAGTTTTTTTAGCTCTCTTGGCATGATTTGCTCAATAGAATATATCGCATAATAAATAAGTAAAATGTTTTAAAACCCAAATATTATAATTGCACATACGTTATAAATAATTGAAAATTTAAAAATATTTTTTATAATCAACCAGCGAATCGCCTCGGTTTTCTAAATAAAATTAAAATGGATATATTTTATATGATTGTAGATTATATCTAATTATTTGAGTACTAAATCGAGAATAATTAAAATAATTAATAAATCCTATGTGAAGAATCACATAGGAAAATATGCAAATATTTATATAATTTTGGGGGGGGGGGCGCTAGAAAAAAAGTTGCATGCGGGCGCTAGGAACCCCAGGACCGGCCCTGGCAATACGTATGCAATTATAATATATTAACATAATTTTTTGTATCATAATTTACATTTAATTTTATATATTTAATTCATTTTTATATGGAATAAAAATAAAAATAAATATACTTCATAAAATAAAGATATATTACAAAAATAATTATTAATAAATTTAAAACAGTATTTTTGGATTTGGAGCTTACGACTTATATAATAATATTTAAATAATTATCTAATATAATATTTTTATTAGTTAGAAGCTATCATTATTAGAGCAATTCTAAAATTTGATCAAATAGAGGTGGGCAAACAGATAGATGGCTTTTTAAAAAGCGACGTTGAAAAAAAAAGCATGAAAGCTTATTGGACGCTTAAATTTTGATTGCTGTTGCAATAAATATATAAAACTAGTGGGGCGCATGGCATCGTGCCTTAAGGCAAATTGCTGGAACTTCCCGTACCAAAAATTATTATTTTTTTAAAAACGATTAACATTTTTGAAAAAAAATTACTTAGAAAAAATTAGATTTTTGAGAAACTATAAATTTGACAAAAAATTACTTTTTTTTGAAAAAAAAAATTTTTTTTTGAAAACAAAAAATTTTTTTGAAAAAAAATGTTTTTTTCATTTTGGCATAGTTTGGAAATTCTGAACTTTTTTTCAAAGCAATCGTACTGCTTGAACTGCATAGAGACGATATGACAAAGCGCCTAAGTGCCGCGCCGCCTAACGGAAAAGCATTGGTACGGAACCCATAGAAATGTAAAAAAAAATTATACTTATTGTTGAAATTTCTATAAAATATCTGATAAGTTGATGTGCATATGTCTAATGATCATTTTTGACCGCCAAATGGCATTTTTTTTACTTTTTTTATTAGATCCCCGCTACCGCTAGACCTGCCTTCATGAAAATTCGATCAATTCTTTATCTTGTCAATACAAGTAAAATGTTTTTTGAATTATTAAAATCGGACGCTCCGTTCTCCTAAAAACTGTTACCATTTTTGGCACTTTTTTGCACAAAAACTAATCAGCACGTCTCCTTATCAATACGAATCGAATGCTTTTTGAATTATTCAAATCGGTTGATCGATGTTCCCGAAATCGTCGACGAAAATTTGTATCCGCACATACACTCGCACACACACACGCATACACACACACATACGTCCATTTTTTCTAAGGCATGCCAAAATATTCAGAAACCTTTGAAACGTAAAGATATATAAAAAATTTTATTTTCGATTTTTTTGCGATTACTATAACTTGCCCTACGGGAAGGTAAAAATAATAATGTATGGAAATGTAATTGCAAAATAATATATATCAAAAAAATATTGAGCACAATATTCTTGGATCTTGTGTGAATTATAAGATGAGAACAGAACCAGGATCAGTCATTTACTTGTGATCACAGATGTCATAACAGCTTTTCAGTGAAAATCTACAATTTTAAAATTTTTACATTTTTTCCAAATTATATTGAAGATTTATAATATAAAATTTATTGAAACATATTATAAAAAAAACAATTACTATAAATATTTTAAGTGGTGCATGTAACATATATCAATTTATGATATTGATAAATGAATTGAAAATTAAACTGAATTTAAATCAAATTCATACATTTAATTCAGTATAATTTTTAAAAAAATAATTTTTGTTTGTTATCCTAAGTGTCAACACTATTTGTCTTCTCAATCTGTTGTAATATTTATTATCAACAAAATATTTTGTAGATAATCATTTAAAAACTCATGTCACATGGTCTTTGAGATTCACTAAATAGTTGATATAGAGATACGAATGTTATCAGTTAGAGGAAGTAACAAATTTAATGAACTCTTCTTATCACTCAATAATAGACGACTCAGTCACACATTCATGAATTATATAATATTATACTTTACATAGCCCTTTACTCTTGATCGTTTTACTTGAATTATTTTGTCAACGTACAATCAATGATGAGAATAATTAAAATTTATCTATTTAACTGAGAAATAAATGCTACTCTGTAGATTAGTAGTTAGGGCTATGAGATTTCAATCAGGAGTTCAATACCCGCCTCGAACAGCCCGATGTCAAGTAGTAGGTACATCGGTTTTCACTTGGATGTTGATAGCAATAAGTTTTCTAGTAAAAGTATCCCTCGCCCGGCATTGCTGGTATTATCACTATTAAAAAAAGAGAAGAAATATCTTCACAACAATTTATTGGCCCATTAAGTCTTAATTGCTGCTCAAACAAAGAAAAAACTAGTGGTGTATGCATCGTGCTTTAAGGCAAAATGCTGGAACTTCTCATACCGTAATGAAATATTCGAGGATTTCAAATGTTTGCAAACAGATTATTATAAATGCTGTAATTTTCATTATTCGTATTTTATAGACAAAATATAATAGTTTATAAATTGGACGACAACATTTATATATGTTTACATGAAAAATAAAGAAAATAAATAAACAAAATTTAATCAACCGGAATTAAAATAAGGAATCATAATTGCAAAGTAAAATTATTTATTTGAAACATTAACGTTTTAGTTCGAGTTAAAATTAAAATCCAAAAACCCAATCAAAAACCTGTCATTTTTTGCACTTTTAGCTCGGAGAACGGCTGGAACTGTCTTTGCTGAGAACAAATCAGCATTCCCTATCAACAGGAATCGATTGCTTTATGAATCATTCAAATCAGTTGATCCGTTAGTCCAAAATTGTTGACAAAAAATTGTATCCACACATTCTCATGCATACACACACATCCATTTTTTCTAAAGCATACTAAAATGTACAGAAATCTCTGAAACGTCAAAATATCAAAAAAATTACTAAATTTTATTCTTCGAATATTTCATTGTGGTACGAGAAGTTCCAGCAATTTGCCGTAAGTCACGATGCCATGCACAACTAGTTTTTTTTCATTATTTGTTATATCGTAACAAATATACCATTATCATAATTCTTCTTATATTCATATTCATTATCTACTAATTTACTAATAATCATTTATATATAATATATAATCATTAATATTTATTTTAATGTTTTAGCTGTTATGTCACGATCCAAGCAAAAGGGTATCTAATTTGCAACGACTTCGAAAATTAAATCTTGTCCGCGGAATAGATATGGACCTGGTTTTACAAAAGAAAATTAAACCGGCTTATAGTCCTCCAAGAGACCATCTGAACTGTGATCCAACATTTGAATTAGAAGAGATGATACTAGAGACAAAGCCGCTGCACAAAAAGAAAAAGAGGCTGGCAAAACAACGATCTGTTAAGGAGTCGCTGAGGAGTATAGATGTGGTAAAAGCTAACCTTAATACATTTATTGTTTTAAAGAAAATAATATGTGGGCATTTAATAAAATTTTCTGTTTATAACAAAAAGGCCAAAAAGCGCTGAGGCATAAAATAAATTATGTTGAACAGAATTTTTTTTGTTAACGTTGAAAAGTATAATAATTATTAGTATAATAATTCAACGTAGTCTCGTTGCACTTAGTGGATGAGCTATTTATGTAATCAGGGCCGGTCCTGGAGTCCTCAGCGCCCGCATGCAAAATTTGTTTTTGCGCCCCCCCCCCCCAATAATTTTAATTGTTTTAACAGTTTATCATTAAAAGTATATAAATATTTACGTACATTTTTCAATTAATTTTTAATCGTAAGAAAAAATTAGATATAATTTAAAAGCGTATAAAATACATGGATTTTAAATTTATTTAGAAAATCGAGGCAATTCGCGGGTTGATCGTAATCAAACATTTTTAAATTACCAAGTATTTCTAACATATGTATTATATTAATGTTTGTGTTTTGAACATTAATAACATTTGAACATTTTACTTATTGATTATGCGATTTATTCTGTTAAGCAAATTGATCAAAAAAACTAGCCTTTCATTTTTAACGTAACTCTCGTATTTCACGTAGGATTTTAAAATTTTATTTTAATTTATTTTTTCTGTATTTACAATATTAAAAAGTGCATCGTAAACTTCTCCTTATTGATATCGTAGAAGCCGAATTGATTCATCATTAGATTCAGAGTATCAGATTGTTGTTTTAAAGTTAAATTTTTACCGTATTTTAAAAGTATTGTCCAAAGATCAGTAAAAGATGCGAAGAAATCATATATTTCCTGAATATTGAAAAAAAAAAACTGATTGTATTTGTATCTATATTATTTTTGCATAGTTAATAATTAAATTTAAAGTATGGGCACCACTAGGTATGAAAAAAGCTCAACAATTTTTGTTCCAAAGTCATTTTTGGATTTTTTCATAACACTAACCACGCATGTCTTCAACGTTCAAAGTTCATCAGATGCGAAACATTTGAAACAAAAACAAAAGTTACAATACAATTTCTCGGAATAAACAATCCATTTTCTAAGCACTAACTCCCCATTTTCTATTTTTCTATTATAATTAGTATATATTTCTTTAATAAGTACCGTTTCAAATAAATCAGCTCGCAATTTTTCATCAATAACGCCCAATAATTAATTTGAACTTTCGTAGGTTTGCGCTTAGGGGATGAACACTAGATAATTTTTTTTCGATTTCACATTTACTTCAAACGAAGAAAAAATGTAGTAAATACATTAAACAATAAGCAGAACAATAATTTACTAACTTGTAGAGTTAATAATCGGTTAATTGTTTCTACTGATATCACATTGCAAACTGAATATGCTTTTTGTGTCTCCGTATCCATAGTTAAGTTAGATTGTTTATTACAAACAATTCAAAAAAAAATATAAAAAAATAATAATATATTATCAATTTCATTTTCGAATCTCGTTTTGGCGCCCCCTAAGGCGTGCGCCCGCATTTTTTGCATGCATCGCATGCAAGGCAGGACCGGCCCTGTATGTAATAGTAAGTTAATATATAATATTACTCTGTCAACGAAAATGCTAACATACAGAATTTTGTATTGATTTATCAATGAGCATAATTTACAAAATAGCAATCCTCTAAGTTGTAATATGTAGATTTTAATAAACTATTACCAACTAGCGAATGAACTGCGAGATTCAATAACAATAACTATCTATAACGTTTCCATCGACTTCGCAAAACCATGAACTATAGGTTTCGATCGTTAGTAATACTAAAATCTAACTCTATTTTTATGTTTCCATATGGCAAAATACAGAGATGTTCTCAAATTCGTCGATCAATAACGTTTGAGTTATAAAGGTTATAAAATTTTATTGTTGTCGCCCATGAGAAGGAAATCGGCGCTTACTCAACAAAAAATTTAACTTTGCATCAAATTCAAGCATAGAAATGATAAAAAAAAAATAGATTAGTAATGTTATTATATGACATGATATAGCATATTATGGTTATGATAATATAGAAAATGAAAAAAATTGAAACTTTTCCAAAGCCTCTAAAACATACTATTATTAGTCTAAATTATATCATACTTTTTAATAAAATTATATCTGAATTTAATTCTTTCTGTCACAATTATGCAAATCATAACACATGTGCTTGATGACAAAAAATATAATTTAATAAAAATCAAATCTAAATCTTAGTGTTATTAAAATTTTTAACAAATATATCTTTGAAAGGATTGTGATGGACCTACTGGAAAAGAGCTCGATTTGCCCGAATTCCTCGTATACAACCGTTGTCAGGAATTAAAGAGGCGCGAGCGCGAATCTCGAGAAAAGGCTTGGGAGCGGGAACTGCTCCAAGCAATGGAGGCATCAGATCAAGAGGGGCAGCAGCTGAGACCCGACGACGCAGTAGGCAACGGGCACAAGCGTCCTGGTCGAAGGAAACACGAAATACAGAAGGAGAAGTTAACCCTGGTTACTGATGTTGGAATTATTCGAGAATGCGACAACGAAACCAATTTTGAAAGTACAACGAATGATTCTTCAATCTATGATAATAAGAAAACAAGTGACAATGTTCTTCTCAAACCAGAAGATAAATCCATTAGTTTAGATTTTATAGATAGAACGCCTTCCCCTGTTTGACTTTTTAAATTTGTATTATCAGCTGCCAAAGCTTTAGCAAGACCAAATTTGTAACATTTCTAACATTTAACCAATGTCAACCATTATTATATTGAGGTGACCATTTTTTTTCAACTTCGGTACGAAGAGAACTACTGATCATAAATAATTTAAAATGACGAATACTATTCAAAGTAAGTAAAGTAGTAAATTAAGTATACAATGAAAAACAGCTTACGAATCAAATTTTTAAATCAGAAATACTACAATCGATTGTAGTCAGTATAATCGATAGTGATCAGTATAAAACTTTTGAACTTTAATTTTTGAAAAGGAATATTTTTGCATATTTTTACGTTTAAATGTCTTTTAAAGATTTTGTCAAACGTAAAAAATGCATATCTGTATGTTTTTTTTTTTTTGTATAGTGAAGGAAATGCTTTTATGCATCTCAGACTGGTCTTTTGTCTGGGTATGTCGGAGTCGATACCGCTTCGGTATGATACCGACTAAAACCTCCGCTTTGCCCTTGCCTCTGGCCCCAAGGGAATCCGCTATTAGACATAACTTCGTAGGGGGTGTATCTAAAATGTTATCATTCTTACCTTGTATTTATACTCATTTCCTAAATGGGCGAAATCCCATTCACTCTTTCTCTTTCCATAGAACGGCAGGTCTCTCTCAAATCTGTCTATGGCGTTCCAAGCAGCTTCAGTTCTCAGCATCACTTCTACAATAGTATCTGGAGTAATTCTTCGGCTTAATATCTCTTCTATATCGTCCCGTAGAGCACTAAATCGCGGGCACACGAAAAACACGTGCTCAGCATCATCAAACAATATGAGCAATCCGGCCAGCTATCGCGCTTGAAGCGGTGTTGGTAGGCTCGAAAACAGCCGTGCCCAGATAGCATTAGCGTAGTGTAATAATTCACTTTTCCATGCTTGCGATTTAGACTTTGATGTTTGGAATGAGACGATGCGTCCATCTGTTCTTTACCGAGACATCCCACAGTTGTTACCATCGGTCAATGCTGTTCTGTCATTTTTCTATTCTCAACTTTTCAGGACTCAGTAGTTGATGTCTTCGATGGTAAATTGTCAGACTTTCCTCTGCTAAGACTAAGAGAGGTATGTCTGTGTGGGTATATGTGTGTATGTGTAGTAGTATGTTTGTATCGATGTATGATACAATTTTTTGTTGACTATTTCGAGAGCAACGATTAACTGATTTTAATGATTCAAAAAACATTCGATTCCTATTGATGTTATTATCTTGATGACGTGCAGATTTTTGAAGATACAAGCCAAAAAGTGCAAAAAATGGCAATTCAGTTTTTGAGAGAACGAAGCGTCCGACTTGAATAATTTAAAAAACATGGCACGTCAAAAATGGCAATTTGCGACTGTTCCGGCCAAACCGGGTCGTATGGTCACCTTATATATAAGGAATTGCTGGTCATAAAAATATTTTAATTAGTGTATGCTAGTATAATTTAGTTCTTTCAAACTGCATAAAAATATTCAATGGGTAATTTTATTATTCTTATGCGGTATGAATTAAATTGTAATAAACTTAGACGTTTTATACTTTTTAAAAATAAAATCAGAATTTGGTAATAAATTGTAATGTAATTAATAATTAAAACGTCGTAAGAGGCTTTTATTTTTAATTTTATAGGCATACATCATGCGGCATTGCAGTTCGATTATGAATCTTCTAATTGATTTTGGTATTATTAACCAATTGATCAATCAGTTTCGTTAAAATAAAGAAATGTGTAAGTGTTTCAATTTATTTTTTAGTTTTTATTAGAAAATCATCAAACTATATCCAAAAATTAATTTTATGGATTATATCATACTAGAATCTGCGGTTATATTGAAGTATAGAAAAACATACTTATTATATTGAAACAATACTGTATATATTTGAAAAATAAAAGATTTTTACGAATATAATATTAACGCATTTTTAGCTAGAATAATATAAAGAATCATCTATTATCTTGGTATCGACAAGATTAGCCTTATTATTTCTTGTCAGATTATTTTTTATGTACAGCTTATATGTAAATGATTTTAAAATAGATTTGATTTCATTTGTGGTGTATAGACGGCAATGAAAATATGAAATTGTTATAAAATATCGTTGCACTATGATATATTTTTATTTAATTAGAAAAATGTATATGAAAATACAATTATACATATAATATTCGACTTTTATTTCGACTTTTTATTTTGACCATTTGGCTGCTAATTATACATTTCAATATATATATATATATATATATATATATATATATATATATATACATATATAATTATTTTGTATTGGTTTTAATTTTAGTAACACTATTTATAATATAGGCATACTTTATTCATCATTTAACATTTATTTAAAATTTTGTATGATTATAATATCAAATCAATGAAGGATATTTCAATATTTGTTTTTTATTTTGATAACACTTTAGCTGTTTTGATCAAATTAAAAAGATTTTGAATATATTAGGTCGCAAATTGCAATTCTAAATTACACATAAAACGAAAGAACCAAATTCATCAACTTTCCGATACGTATACATAATTTACTTAATTTTAAATTTTTATATTAATAAGAAATAAAATTCAGCTATTCAGGTATAAGATTTATCTGTTTATTTTGAAAATAAAATTTTCGCTTTCACTAATAAATAATCAACAGGATTTTCAATTGATTTATATATTTATTCAAACATACTTATTTTTTATTATATCTGTAATTAATTTGTTTAACACTTTTCACTTCTTTTCATTGTTCTCAAAATGTATTTTATTTAGGACTACTTAGCTGCACCCGATCACGCGTTGCTGTGTTATACATATAAATAAAAATCTAAACAAAAATACGATTCTGTTCCATGAAGTTATTAAGATGGAAAATAGCGCACGTAAATTTAGTGATTGATTGTCGAGCTGTATTAGATGCATCATGGAGTGAAAAGTCCCATACAGCATCGCAATATATAAGCTAATCAGTATTTTTTTACTTTCAGTAAATATACTGCAAAACCAAATAATTTCCTCCAGTACATGAAACATATCAAACCTATTTAAGATTATTATTGCCTAAACATAGAAATATATTTATTTGCTATTTTTTCTAAAATTTGTCATCTGCCCTCCTTCGCCCTATAGGCTAGTCAAAAAGAACTGCCGGAGTGCAAATACATAATTATAATTTTGAAGAAAAAAGATTTTACAAAATAACAGATATATTATTTAACCAATACCAAATACATACAAACTTTATGAACACAAAGATTTTCAATCTCGCATTGTACTATATATTATAATAAGGTGTTAATTTGGACACCTTTGGTGAAATTAATTTTTTAATGTAAAATAGCTTTTCCATAAGCTCAAAAATTCAGTCAAAATCGTTTACTGACTGAAATCGAGATAAAAGATAATGTAATTAATATAATGATTTTTATGAAATAGAAATATGCAATAGTAAAGTAGTAAAAAATTTGTGATTTAAGTATTTTCTAATTAAGCATTGTTAAAAAATTAAAGTGAGCCGAAAAAAATGAAAAAAAAAACTCTACGGGGTACTCAGTCTTCACATTACCTGCCCGAGGGCATATCATGAAAGTGTAGATTTTGAATCCAAAGGACAGACAGGTAATGCTCATTTATGTACATATATTTATATATATATATATATATATATATATACATATATACATAGCTGGGCATTAACTCGTTAATCCGTTAATCGTTAATTAACGAAGTTAACATTTTGATTAACGGATTAACTTTTAAGTTAACTTTGAAAAATGTTAACGGACACGTTAACTTCCGTTAAAATGCGAGAAGTCCGTTCATCGTTAATCCAATGCCTACTATTTACCGCACGGCACAGCTTTAGCCAATGCCTTATTAAACGGCATAGAGAAAAGATTTGGACTACTCCTGAATGATAAACAGTGCCAACTTGCCGCGGCATTTCACCCAAAGTTTCGGTTAATGTGGCTGGAAACGTATGACAGGAAACGTAGAGAGGAATGCAGAAACTATAAACTATTGGACAAAAAAATAATTTTTTTTGAAAAAAAATGTTTTCTTTATTTTGACATATTTTGGAAGATCTGAACTTTTTTCAAAGCAATTTTACTGCCCTAGGACTGCATAGAGACAAAATATAAAGCGCGTAAGCGCCGCGTCGCTGTCTAAAGGATAAACATTGGTACGGAACCCATAGGAATGTAAATAAAATTTATACTTATTGTTAAAATCTCTATAAAATATCTGATAATTTGATGTGCATATGTCTAATGATCATTTTTTACTGCCAAATTGCATTTCCTTTTACTTTTTTTACTAGATCTCCGAAACCGCTAGACCTGCCTTCATGAAAATTTGATCAGTTCTTCATTTTGTTAATACAAGTAAAATGTTTTTTGAATTATTAAAATCGGACGCTCCGTTCTTTTAAAAACTGAGTTACCGTTTTTGGCTCAATTTTGCCCCATATCTTCGGAACGGCTAGACCTGCCTTTGCCAAAAACTAATCAGCACGTCTTCTTATCAATACGAATCGAATGTTTTTTGAATTATTCAAATCGGTCGATCCGTGTTCCCGAAATCGTCGACGAAAATTTGTATCCGAATACACATACATACACACACACATACATCCATTTTTTCTAAGGTATGCTAAAATATTCAAAAACCTTTGAAACGTCGAGAAATGCAAAAATTTTCATTTTCGATTTTTTTGCGATTACCATAACTTGCCCTACGGGAAGTTAAAAAAACTCTTTCCCTTTTTTAGAAAAAAATTCTTATAAAAACAATATGCAATCATAAAAACGGAAAGTTGACCAATAGCGTTATCACGGTATGTGATAATTGTGCCATTTTCCTTATACACACGGAAGTGTGCACAAAACGCGCGAGGGGTTAAATTACACATTTGAATTATACAAGTATTTTGTTTTATTCATAACCTGTTAACTTCCAGAACCTAAA